GCATCGGTCGAGTGCTAGGTGAATAGTTGGAGGGGAAAGCCAATCGACGAGGTTGTGAAGCTGGCTGCATTGACTGATAGAGATTGTGAGGAGGACATGTGCTACGCATGATTAGACTAGCTCAGCCACCGATTGCCTTCCTCGACAACAGGACAGACAGCCAATGAAATAAATCCACAATGGTTAGTTTAGGCCAACGAGGCAGCTGTGTAGGGGTGTAGACTTCTTGGTCGGTCGGTCGGTTTTCGACATAGAACTTTGCACATATGTGCGGCAGTTCAAGTCGCCACACTCCATGTAGCACGCAAAGCAAGAGAAGAAAGTAGAAGAAATGCATAATATAGACAGTAAACAGAGGTGTGAGACAAAGGAATAGTAATAACGGAGAACAGAACAGTTTAATTGGAAATCATAAGTCACAAGGAGTGGATGCATCTGCGCCACTGAGAGCGATTTTGAGCCATGTCACCAATTGTTTCCAACCATTGGTTTTTACCATCCCGAGGACTTCTTGACTGAGTGAGTGACTGACTGGGGTCCTCACGATGGTAAGAACTAATGGTGGCCGCTCCAGACAATTGGTGATATGGCTTAAAATCGTCGTTCTCAATGTCTGTGGCAGACGCATTCACTCTTTGTCATTCATTAAATCATATCCAATAAAATTCTATTCTTCTTTCATATTACTGCACTTTTTGCCTCATATTTCTGTTTATTATCTGTGTCTTTTTTGAATTTCTGTTTACTGTCTTCTGTTGATTTATGTGCTAAAAGGAGGGAGTGTGGCAACTTAAAGTGCTACATATTTGTGCAAAGTTCTGCGTGGAAACCAGTCAGTCAGTTCTTTATGATAAATTGAGTGGTAATGATGTCATATCTTCAGCATCAACTTACAGAATAGAGGTTCTATGTAGACTTTCATGTAGTTGTGTTCTCTAAGCTGAGTGGTTTATTTGCAAATCTTTCACTGCCCTACTAGGCAACTCCTTCAGCGCATACTTCATAGATATTCAAAGATTCTGCGTAAATATTTCTCACAATTAACTGAATAGTTTGCTAACCAACTAAATTTAGCACTGTCGACTTTTATTTCTGAAAACCCTACAACTAGAACAAGCTGGTCGTCTAGAAATCTTTCATTTTCAATGAGTGATTCTCACTTATTAAGGTTACTGACAAAATCTACATGGATAAGTGGTTTCTGCTGAAAATCCTGCAGTAGGATGCCATTTTTAATTCAAAAATGACTCGATTGTACAATATTACATCTAGTTTACTCAACAACAACAAAACAAATTACATGGTATGAGTAATTAAAATTGATAATTGCAACTCTATGGCATCAAGAGTAACAACAATGAAGCCAAACATGTACAAAACGTATATAATCACAATATTATTAATAACCAAGGTGATTATAGGTTGATTCAAATAGTATCAATCGTAAGTTACAGACAGGAGAAGACGACACAGCTACATTTTTCTTGCTAATCACATGGTAAGTTGTAAGATTTACGCCTAACAACTTCTCTATCACACAGAACACAGGCGGGCCGAATAGGGTATTGTGCAAGCATACAATCCTTTAAAATGACTTCTAGTCGTACTTGGTGAGATGCAAGTGGAAAGTAGGGAATAGGGGTTGGGTGGGTGTTGACAGTCAGTTAATACGTACTCAAATCATTTCTCACATGAGTTCAGGTGTCTGTCGACTACACTAGTAACAATTCGACTTATTAGTACACTAACTACCCTACTGACAGCCTTTAACACTTTTCGCAACATGATACAGTCCTCCTTGAGTAGCCGAGGAAAGACTAAGGGGAAGCAGTAAAGAAAAAGAGGTAAGATGCGAGAGTTAACAAGCTGTAAAAGTAGATTCTCAGTGATACCTTAGTGTTTTAACTTCTTAATTTGGAAGGTTAGACGACACCTTTTCCTAGAAATTGACAAGTTATTAGACGACAGACCAGAGGATAGAATCATTCAGAGGTATTTGTAACTTGACTTAGTTTCTATTTCAGTGCCCTGTATGTTAAAAGTGTCTTGTGGATCAACCAGTTCGTCTAGATCAAGTCTGTGTTTAAAGGTGAAGTTAAATGTCTGACATTTTGAGGGATTTAACGAAAGACAATTTAGATAACTTGGACCACTTGTTGATGTCGGACAAAAAACTAATAAAGGGAACCGGTTGCATAAAAAAACTATTAAGTTTGGAACAGTCAGATCATCAAAGTATTTACCGAAGTTGATTTCTTCTGAAAGAGGCAAGTCATGAAAGAACGAGAGAAAAGGTGAAAGGAGAGAGAAGAGCATGTTGAGGGACACAGACTTCAGTGAGTAAGGCAGAGAGAGAGAGAGAAACATTTGCCTTTATATTACAGTATACTGCATTCTGTCAGAGAAATAAGAATGCAACCAGTTATCAGCCCGTGTTAAACAGCATACACAAGCCAAATATGTATTCGTCCTCTGTTGTCCATTATCTTCAGAGTAATAAAACACACCCCCTCCAACTGCACCTTTAGAGTCTTGAGTCTTTGTATAACCATTTGAATTATCATTTATTTTGTGGTGTTCACAAACTTTTGCCTAATTTCGTGCAACCGGATCCCTTTATTAGTTTGAAGAGAGAAAGAATGAACATGTTTGCAGGATAATACGAGCTCGTTTTATTTCGTGGATTCTCATCAACTGCATACATCCTAAACAAAATCAAATTATAGGTTTCAAGAAAGTTGTGGAACATACTTTTTCATAATAACTTTGAGTTATAGATAGAAGGCATAAGAAACATAATTCCAGAATTCGATGTAGTTAGACAGATTATTCAGTGTCAAAAAACAACTAATTATATATAGTGGAATTAGATAAGAGGGGTAAGAGTTCAGATTTCTATTGGAAAACAACACAGATTGGTTAGAGGCATATTACAGGGTCAGGGTCAGAGGACAAAGTAAATTTACACATATTGTGGTGGAGAGTTTAAGAGGGTGGGGGTGAATAGTGAAGTGACATTTATAACTTAAACAGACAAACAATTAAGTAGATTTAGAAACTTGAAGGTCAAAATTGAGTAGAATGTTACGTAACAAGACAAACACACAGGCCTACTGACAGAAAGGCAAAACAAAAAATTATGTTCCTTATGCCTTCTATCTATAACTCAAAGTTATTATGAAAAAGTATGTTCCACAACTTTCTTGAAACCTATAATTTGATTTTGTTTAGGATGTATGCAGTTGATGAGAATCCACGAAATAAAACGAGCTCGTATTATTTTGCCTAATTATTTTAGCTACTTATGAGTAGTGTAAAAGCACACATTTAATAATGCGAACTTCAACAAAATGCGTAATTTAATATCAATGGTATCCAGACTGTCACATCAATCAATCAGTCGCTAGTATATAAAATCATGCATTTACGACTGCTTTACTGACTGCTGTATATGGTATCAAGCACATTGCAAGTGTGTTGTGAAGAGCATCGATTTGAAATGTCCACTCTTCGAGTTGCAAATTGAAAATTTGCCCCGATATATTACAAGTATTTGCTCAAGCAAATAGCCAGTATACGGGAAACTGGGACTGACTCAGTTCTCTGAATTGAGTCAAATCGGGTATACTGTCGATGAACTCGGTTCCAGACAAGGGAAAGAGCAGTTTGGCGTTAATTTTTTCACTTTGATCTTGCATAAGTGGGCATCTAGTAAATAAACAATCTCCTCCATCCATCCTTATATACCTTCAAGTTTTACTTTTATTATTTCTATTATATTTATGGTCCTGTTGCTTCTTTGTTTTACTTTCATAATTGCAAACACTGACTTATCTCTATGACTGCCGTGATCTTTGTTTTTCCCCTCACCATATCTTGTAAAGAGTACATTATATTCAATATTTTTAAACATGCTAGGATTTCCATACCGAATCGACAATACTGTGGGAAACAAGCCCACGGCAATTTCCAGTTTTATTATTATCATTACCTTAGCTGCTATCACTATTATTATTTCCATTTTATATGCTGCATGTTTTTTGACATTACCCCTATTGTAAATGTGGAAAATTTTCTGTGTGGTTAATTTTATTTATAATTTGTGGAAATTAGATGCAGTATTGTGATTAATGCTGAAAATTTCATTCTGTATCACAAGTACTGTTTTTGGAATAAAGCAAATCATTATTATTATTATTAACCAAGGCACTCTGTCTTCGACTTTCGAAATCATAGTCTATCATGTGGAAAATATTCTTTTTTGTATTTTCTGATTACAGCTTGATTCCACACCGTATTTTTGGTACAGATATGGAATTTTCATCATGTGATATCGG